GAATTAACTCTTTGACAATGATCCAATGTCTTTTCAAACTGCAACCAAAAAAAATTAATGTGCAGTATAATGCCTGGCCAGTATCATTCTCATCTAAAAATCTCTACTTAATATTTGACTTTTGTAGCAAAAGAAATATGGTGTAAGAAAGAGAAAAATTAATCCAAAATCCCTGCCTTCTAACTCAACATCCCAACTTCACTGGACAATAATACACATGCTGCCCCAAACAACAAACCTAAAATGCCTAAGACATGTATTTTGTTTCTTTTCTGTAGAAACATATTACTGTATATGTAAAATTAGTAAAGGGAAAATGCTAATTCCCATCAAAAGTCTTATATAATTGTAGTAAACACTGCACATATTGACAAAAAACTTTGAGAGAGGTAGTAGTCATGCTCCACTGAGACGGAATAAATCAGTGATTCTGAAACGATCGGAGGCCTAGAGTTTGCGTGCAGATACAGATTTCTGGCCCTCTCACCTAGTTTTCCTGACTCAGCAGGTCTACGCTGCTAATAACATAATACAGATGAAATAAACTGCATCCTAAATTTTTATCGACCCAACAAGAGCAGCTACATATAACGCGTAAAGAGTTACGTGGCATTAGCATATGGCAGCCTATCCTATCCAGCATTCTCCGAAGTTCACCTAAGTATACTCCTACATGTACTTTGAGGAAAAGGACTTCAAACCCTATGTGAAGGGCTGAAGTGATTCAGGCAAGAAAAGAAAAAGTCAGTAGTCCTGCTAAGCATCATATATAAAACAATTGGTCTGCATTAAAAAAAAAAATCCCCAAATTGTGGATACTGACACACATACCATTAAAATTCAAAATTGAAAAATATAATCTATGAATTAATTCTCAAAGTAGTCCATCACTATTTGATAAAAAAGACCAATAAAATTATGTGGTATGCAGCTTCTGTGGCTTTCGATGATGCCTGCCTCCTAGTATCCCTGCTGCTGTATGCCTCTGGTGCGCATGTCCTTCCCAGTTTCGGTGCGGCGAGTCTGGCAGAAGACCGTGAGGCCTCCAGAGAGGCCTCAGCACGGTTTATTCACCCACAGGCACCGTCAAATGTTCTTTGAAGCCATTATAATTTGGAATGACTTGTTACGAAGGAATACATAACAAACACATGACATAACCACCTATCTTTCCTCTATTCAGGTCAAGTAAAAGA